GTGTATATGCTATAGTACCTAAACAGCCGTAACACCAAGAACACGGCTGCAGGAGCAGTCGTGTTCTTGGATTAACCCCTTCTGCGGGCAGCTGTAAATGTATGTAATGTGGAAGAAGTGATTAAAGTAAATTGTGCCCTACTCTGGTCAGGCCAGAGAAATAAGAATATCAGTTTTTCTACATCTGGGTGCACATTATTATTTTTCAATGTAATGAGGAGGGTGAGGGATTTTGGTTGGCTTTAAAAACAGAGTTATATTTTAAATGTGCACATAAGTTGTTGGTAAATGCAACATCCTAATCCTTTGTACTTCAGTAAGCTCAAGAGAAAAGTTTACTACACTTTAGTGAGTCAAGACAAAGGAAACTGTGTTTTACTTGTATGTGCTTGGGAAAATAGGGAGATAGTTCATCCATACAGGAATAAACTTATTGGTTGCTCAGGTAGAGGAAGCACAACTGATTGGCTATTAGTGGCAGAGGAAAAGAGGCAGAATTGCCAGTGAGAAACATGGCCAATCAGAATCAGAGGGACCCATTCCAGGTGATAAAGCATTTTAGGGGGTGTAGTTTCTATTTTTATTGGGAAGTGGTGGATTTAAAGTAATTTTTTTTTACTTTAGATCCACTAAAATTGTACAAAAGCTCCCTAAACCTGAGTAGTTGCTCTGATGTTTCATCCTTTTGCTTTTTGTGCTACAGTTACAGCTGAACTTCAGGTAGTATAAAAATAAAAAAATGAAAAACAGTTCAGCTTATGCATTCAATAAAAACATATTATAACAAGTATTAGACACTGGAGCTGTCGCACACTGGCTCTATATACAGAGAGCTGAGCATTCGTGTATCATGTGACTGTCAGTCACCACTCCCCACAGGGTTTCCCTCTTCCTTTTCTGTTCCTCCAGTGCTCACTGACGTGGCAGACAGGGGAGGGGACGGGCACAGCTGGCTTTGGCTCAAGAGGCAGAGTCCGCTGTCAATCAGGCAGCCAGATGTATTGCGACAATATTGTTGGGATCTTCCTGGCAGATCTTCCTGGCCGGACAGTAGCCCAATATTTGCTGACTTTGGGTCTCAGGAGTACATTATTAAATGTACTCCTGTGACCCAAAAGAGAAGTCATTTTTTTTGTAATGTAAAACGTACAGTTTTACTATGAGTGATACATTTTTGTATAAGTACCTGTATTTTTATTGATGCCTTCTTCCCACAATCCACTAAGCAGCAGACTGGGGGAGGCAGGGACAGCAATCTGAGCAAATCAGAGCTCTACAGCTTCCACAAAACATGCTGACAGAAGAGGAGAGCAGAGAGATGTGCTATGTGTGTGTATGTGTTAGAAAGAGAGAGATTTCATCCGTGTTTTTAGCAGTTGGCCTATTCCATTTAAGCTTATCCAAGACCCTCTCAAATCATGCACATAGAAAAAGAGCTTAATAATTGCTGTTGCTTTAAATAAGCCCTTCCTTAAAAAATAAAAATGTATCTTTCATTTGCATACCAAATTCAAGGCACTGAAAACTTTTTTATGTTAGCATACAATAACAATAATGTTTACCTATTTTTACTGAATTATGATTAGTGTACTACATAAGGGAAGGGCTTAGAATGCAGAAAGTTGAATTAGCTTTGAAGGAGTTGGTATGGATTGGAAATTTGATGTTGAACTCATCCAAAACTTTAGGTCCATATATATTTAAATAAGTGCCATCCCTTCTTCTGTATGACTATTATCAAATAATGGTTAGGGTATAAGTTTGTTCTTTGCCATTGTTATAAGGTACTGAAGTGACAAGAAAAAGCAACAAAGAAAATACTAGATAAGAAAATTTTGGAGACTAGCTTACAATACCCATCGTGTTTACCCTGACAACAATATTATCTGAAAAAGTTTAAAATTAAATTACCTTGAATTAACATTTACATTCAAATTAATGGAATTTGCTTTAAAACTAGTCATTAACTAGTTGTGGACATTGGTTTTATATTCTGTCCTTGTAGTATATCAGTTGCTGTACAGTGTGGAAGGTAGGTTCACAAAGGCTTACCAATAGCACACATGGCAGTGTAAAGAGCGCTATTGCAAGTAATAGGTGCCAATTTATGAATTCTAGCACACTTTCCTGTGTTTATTGCAGGTGGGAAAGTTAGGTTATGAATTAGCCCTATGGATGCACAATCCCTGCCTTTCTATTGTCCATATTGCTGCATTAATCTGCTATTAAACTGATTAGTACATTTCAGGACTTGAAAACGGTTAGCACAGGATGAATATATTCTCCTTCCCCTGTTTGTGGTTTTCACATATTCTTATTGGAGATGGGACCTTACACAAATATAGTTTTTGTTTTAAAGTTGAATGTGTACATTACCTGTAAGAATGCTATCTGTAATTGCAAGATGTTTTACTAACATTCTCTCTCTTTTCAAAACTTTTAACTCTAGATTGCATGTGCTGTGTTTGCTGCTCTTCTTCATTTTTTCTTCCTGGCGGCTTTTACCTGGATGTTCCTTGAAGGAGTTCAACTATACATCATGCTGGTTGAAGTCTTTGAGAGTGAAAATTCAAAAAGGAAATACTTCTATTTGATGGGCTATGGGATGCCCGCTCTTATTGTATCTGTATCTGCAGCAGTAGATTATAAAAGTTATGGAACAGATAAAGTGTAAGTGCTTAATGAAAACATGCAATTTATTTTGATTCTTTTAGTTACTCACCTTAAATTCTAAATTTTGACAACATATCTTAATTATTTGTGTGCCTTTTTTTCTGTTTTCTGGACTGTAGACTCGACTGTTCTTAACATTTAAGGAGACATTTCTTTGAAGAAATATAGAGGCTGCTTTTGCTGACCTTAAACAAAACATCCTAGTTGTCTGGGTATCTAAAATGTTGCTTTGAGACACAGACTCAGCAAGACAGCTAGCATTTTTTTTTTAAGGAGATGCTAGCAGTGACTAGCCTCGGGTATTCCTCAACACAAGCTTCCTCTAAAACTGAATTCCAGCCAAAACATATGTTTTGTATTGGTTACAGTGGGGAAGGGTTTTAAGAGTTAGAGAGATTTTCCCCACTTCCTGTCTTGGTGACCAAACCACAAGTGAGGAGATATCCTAAGTGAGCCATAGTTAGAGAGATTTTGGTCACTTTCTGTCTCACACACAGATGCAAAGTTTCATGTTGCTTTACTACTCAGATATGGAAGAAATTCACAAAGCACACCAATGTTTATATAAGAATATACATGGCTCTTTTAAGCAGTATTTGCCTATTCTGGAGTTCATGTTTACGATCTTTTTCACATGGGCTTCTGCTTGTATAAAAGCAATTTATACAAAAACATTTTTCAAAGCATTTGCAAAACTGTTGGCAGGCTTCACTGAGCCTTCTTGAAGATTTTAAATCAACCTTCAGCTCCAGTGTGATTATTTAAAACAGTGCTAAATTATTCTGCAAGTTTCGAAAGTATATAAAAATGCCCCAGCCTCTCTCCCTGGCCCCCTAAATACACTATACTGAACTACCGATACCCCCTGCCCCACAGGTGCATACTTGCCTCCTCCCACATTGTTGACAGCCCAGCCAGAAAAAACCTAGTGTGTGCTGCCTGCACCTGCGCACTAACATCCCATGCACCCAAGATAGAGGACTTTAGTATGTAGGCAGCCCAACACTAGATCTTTACATCGCGGGAGACCATGAGAGACCTTTGGAGGCGGTAAGTATGCATGAAAACTTCAACATAGCTGCCCACAGTTTGCTGAAAGCTTAGTAAATGCTGAAGCCTGTGTGAGCAAGGTTTAACAGCATGTGATTTTATTATAATATAACAAAGGCAAGAACCCCCAACAATGTTGATGTATAAAACTAAACTCTGATTATTATTAATTGTAAACACTTTGACCACAATATATAATTTAGCAACCACTGCTTGACTTAATGCTCATATGCTTAAAAGGAGAACTATGAGGTGAGTGATTTACACTCATCCCTATAGTTAGAACCGACGTGTGACATTGAAACTGTCACAGGTCGGCTCTATTGATTGGGAAGTGAGCGAACACATACCATCGCTCGCTCTCTTCCCAATCATCTCCCTGCAGAGAGTGGTGACTGTCCGTCACAGCTCCCCGCAGGGATTCCCCCCCCCCTCCCATCTCCGATCCTCCAGCGCTGACTGGAGGAACGGATGGGGGAGGGGGCGGGCACAGCTGGCTCTGCCTCTACATAGGCAGAGCTCACTGTCAATCAGCCAGCTGGGTGGATCTTGACATTATTGTCGGGATCCGTCCTGGCTGCGGCGCTCTCAGTATATAGTGATCTATAGCTCGCTATATACTGAGCTTTGGGTCACAGGAGAAGGTTAGCTTATGTCCTCTTGCGACCCTAAAGAGAATTATGGAATAAAAAGGTTTCCCCATAGTTCTTTTAAGGCTTTACATCAGGTGTTCTGAATCACAAGTACTGAAACCTGATATATGAATGACATGGCCATGCTGGACCAAGGTATTTTAAAAGAGAACTGGTGTTTTTTTAGCTGAGATAAAACCAGTGCTGGGGAATGTGTAAAACATAGAGCCCATTACTTTAAAATGAAAGATAATGTGGTATAAACACTTATGTTGATTGAACAATCATTAAAAAGAAAAACGTAGCCATCAGTAGTCAGAAAGCGCTTGCAAGTCGACTCATGGTCTTATGCCTATGGTTGAGTTAATTTGCATTATGTGAATGACATGAAATGAGGTAGCAGCAATTTTAGACTAATTACCTTTGCCTAACATATTTTTTCTGAAATATATTTACCTCTCATAAAATTATATATAATGTTACAGGTTTTTCTTGTGTATATTCAGTTTAAAATTTAAATGTAGGTGTTAGGTTAAGTTAATCCTAGCCCAATATGTTGGTGAATTCTGCCAAGTCAAGTCACCAACTTTTGATACTTGGTAGTTCTGGTAGTGATATCTCCTTGCTGTTAATTCCTACCTCTTGTTCTTCCTTGGAGTCAAAGTAATAGAAAATACAAATGTATCTTAACCACCTGCTGTCCGGCCGTTGTAATTAAACGGCCGGACAGCGGCTTCTTGAGAGCGGGTGGGCGTCTTTAGACTTTGAATGTAAACAGCGAGCGATGGCTGTTTACATACAAGCATTCGGGCATCTGTAGAGACGTCATTCGCTTGTAAAATGTGTGCGGGTGTGCGCCCCCTCCCCCCGCACCTGCTGCTGCTGATCCCGAGCTCCGCTATGCCCGGTGTGACCCTGGGACCGGCACAGCAGCTCTGCGGCCGGAGATCAAACGGAGCTCAGTACACGAGCTCCTTTTGATCTCCTCCTCCTCTTCGGAATGCAGGCAGTGATGTGTATTACATCACTGCCTGCATTCCTCTGTCACTCTCCGAACAGAAACCGGAGAGAAGCTGGTGAAGCAGGTCTCTGCTTCATCAGCTTCTCTGGGGGTCCCAAGGTGACATCAGGGGTCTTTAAGGCCCCTAATGTCTCCATAAAGAGGACCTGTCACTGCAAATTGACTATCACATAGGGAGCTTATTTGCTCCCTATGTGATAGCAATAAAGTTCAGTAAAAAAAAAAGGTTTAACAAAATTAAAGTTACATAAAAAATTAAAATAAGTCACATATCAAAGCAATAAAAAAATTAAAGTCCCCCGCCCCCACATGCACACACAAATATGCGTCGAGTCCGCCTGCGCCGCACATGTTACATATCGCTGTGAACGTCGGAGTGAGAGCAATAATTCTAGGGCCATCAATCACTGATAACACTAAACTGATGAGCGGTAAAAGCTTTTAAAGCGTCGGCTATGGTAAATTTTGAGTGGTATTTTTTTTTGCAATGTAGCGGGTGCGCGCAATTTTAAAGCTTGACATGTTTGGTGTCTATTTACCCGACATGACCCTGTCTTTTATATTTTACCAAAAATTTGGGTAATAATAAATGTTTAATAACATAACATAGGGATAACTGTTTTTTTTCCAAAATTTTCGGTACTTTTGTCATTATATAGTTTTAAAAAAAACGTAGTGGTGATTAAATACCACCAAAAGAAAGCTCTATCTGTCCCCAAAAAATTGTATAAAATTCATTTCAGTACAGCGTTGCATGGCCTGGACAGGAAGGGGGTATAAACACCCCGGTCAGCGAGTGGTTAAAGTGGACCTTTACCCTCTTTGACTAAAAATCAAATCAACATGTAGCTCTGCATGCTGATATGAAATCATCTTACATTCATTAGCTCAACAAACATTTTTATTTTACTTACAATTTCTTTTTAGCCACTTCCTGCTCCTCTTTGGCACAATTTATGTGATTGTGCCAAGCGTTGCATGTGGGAAGGTTACATTAGCAGAGCGTTTTTGGGAAATCTTGTGCGATCTCAGGGAAAGGCATTTTCCTCCCCTGAAATCATGTGCATTGTCACATGTCCTAGTCACATATGCCAGAGTTCCAGGAAATAAAGGGAAATATATTAGTCTGCCCTTAGTTAAAATGGCCAGAAGACTGGGAAAGAAAAGAGAAATAAGGTATGCAACGAATACAAAGCCTGCAATTATCTAGAAATATCAGTTTGTAGATTGTCATTACTAAACATTTCTAAAGGTGCCTTTGTTATTATTTTGAAGATATGGGTAAAGTTACTCTTTAATTTAACCAGCTTGTACATATAACAATAACAACCTATATATGAGGGTGAATCAAAAATTTTCCGCACTCGAATTTATTTCACGTTTAAAAAAGACAAATACAAAAGAAAATCTTAGAAAAGACAAATGTGGTCAGAGGTGTGCGGTTGTGCATTGTTATGTAAGATCACAACGCCCTTGGATAGCAGTCCTCTGCGTTTAATCCGGTTCCTTCTTGATGGCTAACCTTTGTGTGACCTTCCTTGAACTTCTCTATCCTTTCATACACACTTCTTCGCGACAAAATACTTTTTCCATACTGCGCACAAAGTCATCAATAAATAACGGCACCAGACACACCCTTAGACCACAAAAACCAAACCACTGCATGCTGCTTTTCTATCGTGGGGCATCCATTTTTTTTTCTCGTACCACAGTTACAAATGCACTGACGTAAAACGTTCACACCCGCACAGGGGAGACAGTAGCCTTGAGTGGAAAGAGCTGATAAATGTGGCCAACAGCAGTTTTAATATAACTGGAGTGTGGATAATTTTTGACTAACCCTCGTAACTTGGCTCCATTGCAAATGGAGTTATGAGTTCTGGAAATATGTATATACTATCTGAAAATAATCCCCTTTGAGAGCACAAAATACAATGCAGATGCATTGTCACCTTATATATAATGTATTATTTATATATATGTGTATAAATATATATATATATTATTGTCAAAAAAACCAAAAACGTAGTATTGCAGTGAGCAATGATGCCTTTCTTATCGGACTAACAAAATATATAAAAGACAAGCTTTCGAGACTGGACCTCTCTTCTTCAGGTCAGAAGCAATACTAATCAACATGACAGTTTGTCCGTTAAAGCAAGAGAATGCTGTTAGAGGGGATGGGGTGGGGGGTGACATAAATGTTAGACCAGGGAGTAAAGAATGCCTCCTGATAATCAAAAGACAGAACAAATAAACATAGGATGACAAATAAACCCTAAACAGACAAGAGA